CCCCCAGCCACGGGGAGCCGCCCGAAGGTGACGGCGAGGCAGCTGGAGCCTGGCGCGCGGAGAAGGACGCGAGCGCGACAGGAGCGGAGGCCGTGGGCGACAGCGAGGAGGACGGCGAGGACGTGTTCGAGGTGGAGAAGATCCTGGACGTGAAGACTGAGGGGGTGCGTGAGCGGCGCGGGGCGGGGGGCCTGGGACGCGCCCGCCGGTGGCCCGTCCGCCTAGGGACACCGTTCCGCTGGGCGGGTGCACGTAAAGGCCTCCGGACCCCGGTCCCGCCACCTCTGTCCCTGAGCATCGGCCGGCGGCGGCCACGCTGAAGCCCCTGTCGCTGCCCCTCCCAGCCCGCTCCCGGGGATCAGGCCGAGCGCGCTCTCCCTCGCCCGGCCTCGGCGTTTGACGCCTCGCGGGTCCTTTTTCGGGTCCCTGCCGCGGGGTCGCCAGTGGTTTCACTCACCCCTGCGTCGTGGCCCCGGCGGGCAGTGATGCTTCGTGTTTGCTGGGTCGCTGGTGTGAGGTGGCCGAGCGCCCCACTCGGTGGTCAGCTCCTTAGGGCGTATTCGTTCTGTTTCCCGTTCATCGAGCGCGACCTTGTGTTAATTTTCATTGTTTTGAACATTCGTTCTGCAAACCCTTTCTGGTCCCCTGCTGTGTGCCGGGGGCCGTGTCGGGTCCCGAGGATAGAGATGAATTGTGGCCCGCACATTCGCTGACATTGACTAGTAAGTCAGTAAATAAGTAAAATCCAGTGCCACCAATACTGTTAGTCGTAGTACGGTAAGGGTGGGGACATTTTTATAGCTAATTTCCCCAGGTGTCTTGAAGACACTCCGAGGTGAGAGGTGGAGCCAGTTTTCCCCTGTTTTGAATCACCTGCGTGTAACACGGTGCTTGGCGCGGGACAGGTGCTTGGGGAATGTTTGGTTAGAAGGGGGGTGTTTTTAGAATTAAGAGGATTCGCTTTTTGCTACAAGCTTAGCTCTGTAGGTAGTGCACCAAAAGCCTATACTCTAGTCACAAGTGGATGAAACTAAGAAACTTAAGTGTTTAAGGCTGTAAAGGAGGGTTAGACTTAGCGACCTAAGTTCAGTAAAAGTTCTGGTTCTCAGGGTCTTGGACTTGCAGGTGAATGACTGATTTAGAAGGTGAGCACTCTTAGTGCACCGGGACTGTGGCCGCTGCCTCTTTGTTTGTGGTTTGAGGCGGGGTCCGCATCCCTCGGGCTGCTTTCTGTATGTCTGTGGCCCATTAAGGAATCGGGCCGCCCAGCAGGAGGTGAGCGGCATGCAAGCAGCTGAGTTTCCTCTGTATTTGCAGCCGCTCCCCCGGCGCCAGCATCACCGCCTCAGCTCCACCTCAGAACCTCAGGCATTGGATTCTCATAGCACCGGTGCCTGGTGCCACAAAGGTTGCGGACCGCGGTGCTAAGTGTTTAAAGTAGCCAGCCTGTGGGATTGCTGCTGTTCCTAAGCCACAGTCTGGGATTCTGTTAGACTGAAAACAGCTGCTCACTGAGTGTGGCTTGGGGAATAGCATTGACACCAAGTTTCTATATTAGCCGTGTTCTTTTACTTTATTGCAAATGGGGGGGGGGCGGGGGACGGTCAGAAAAAAATAAATTATCTGACGGAATCTTGGGGATTTTGGCTTCAATTTTGAATTTGAGTCACTATTGCTTAATAAAAACTTGGTTCGCTTATTTAGTGTATAAATCTTATTATACAACTTACTTATCAAAGCCAACACCCAAGGCAAGAAATACTAGACAGCCACCCCCAGAAATCCTTTTGGATCCCCTTCCATCCCCCAGAGAAACTATCCTGAATTATTAAATGGTGATTTCTTTCTTTCCTTTGTAATTTTCCACATAAGCATGTATTCCTCAACACGTTTGACCTGATTTTTCCCCTTCATTTAAATGGAGTCTCACAATAGTTGTATCGTGTATCTGCTTTTTTTGTGAGATTTAATCTGTGTTGTGTGGAGCTGTAGTTTATTTTGTTTTCTGTGCTGCATAGTATTCAGTTGTACGACTAGATTACAGTCTTTTTTCTACTGTCCATGGGTCTTGGGTTGTTTCCAGTTTTTGGCTACTGTGAATAACGCTCGTTTGAATTTTATTGACTATGCCTCCTGGAAGATTGTGCACTTAGGTTTCTCTTGATTATATACACCTAGGAGTGGAATTGTTCAGACATAAGAACTCATATGTCTTTAGTCTTGAGTGGATATTTTGAAAGTGGTTTATGAGAATTCCTTTTGTTTCCCATCCTGCCAACACCACCTGGTGTTATCAGCCACTTGTTATTGTTAGCCAGCACTGGTGGGTATAGAATGGTATTTCCTACTTTCAGTTTCTATTTTTCTTTATCCTACATTAATAATTAGTGTTGTTAGTGTTAATGTACATCCTACATTAGTAATCAGTGTTGAAACCAATGAGCATCTTTTCATGTACTTATTTCTGGGTCATTTTGTTGTCTTTTATGAAGTGCCTTTTTCTCCTGAGTTGTCTTTATTGATTTGTTGGAATCCTTTCTGTAGTCTAGAGTCAAACCTTCGCTAGTGGTATACTGCAAAATCTCTTTTGCTCCTGTGTCTTTTTGATAAACAGAAGTTCATATGATTAATGTTGATAAACTAAATCTGTCTTGATGTTGCGTGCTTTTTATGTATGGTTTGAGAAATCTCTCTCTACCCTAGAACCTCTATTGAGTCGCCTTTCAGATTTTATTTTTACACTTGATTTTGTGTGTAATTTAATGTAGAGATCAGGTTTCGTGAGCATATCTTTCTTACTGTTTGGAACTTTAGAATCAACTTGTCAATTTCCTTGCAGGCATTAAAAACGGGATTTTGGGGGGAATTTGCTGGAATCTGGATAAATTTAGATCAATTTGATTTCTTTCAATAATATTTTATAGCTATCTCTGTTGAGGTCTTGAACATCTTTTATTAAATTTATTCTTAGGTATATTCGATGCAGTGGTAAATTGTCTTTTTAAAATTTCATTTATTGTTTGTTATTCTTGTACAAATACAGTTTTTATATATTTACCCTTTGTTGGTTAAAGAAATTCCCTTTTATTTCTAATTGCCAAATACTTTTATTATGAATAGATATTGAATTTTTACTAAATTTCTGTATTTAGTGAAATAATCACATCATTTTTTTCCTTTATTCCATTAATGTAAATTATGTTGATTTTCTAACATTAAGTCAACTTTGTGTTCATAAAATAAACCAAAATTGGTTGTGAGGTTCCCCTTTTTTAATGTTAGATTATATGTTTGGTTTATATTTCATTAGTTTCTCCTTTTTCTTTATGTTCTTAATTTACTGGTCTTTTTCTAACATCTTGAGGTGGATGCATAGTTCATTGTTTTTCAGCCTTTTTTTCAAATTATGTGTCTTATAAATCATGTAGTATGTTCGTTTTCATTCAGATACAAATATTTCCCAATTTCTGTAAGTTATCCACACATATATTGCTTAATTTCCAAACATTAGAGAAAAATTTATAGGAGGCTATTCTCTACTTTATATTCTTAGTATTATTGATTATTGTAACTCATTTTTTTACGAGGTATTTTTGAGTTCAAAGCAGTAGTATAAAGACCAGGTATTTATACTTCTATTATTAACACACTTGAAGTCCATTGAAATGCTTAATTACAGTTGCGCTTTTTTAAAAAAAAAAACATTTTATGTTCATAACACTTGGACCCACCAGCCTTGAATTTTTTTAAACAAAAAACTGTAATTATCTAGTGTACACGATTTAGGAAAATGGGAGGAGCCATCTGCTGCCTTTTAGTTTGGCTCACTGATTAAGCTAAAAGAAAACTTGGCTACCAAAAATATAGACTGTTCCGGAATTTCGAAGATAAGTTTATAAGTCCTGGGGCTATCATGAAATTTCTTACTATATGGCAAAGTCACAAGCAATATTTAGATCTACGGGACTCTCATAAAAGAACATATAATTTAGGGATTTCATTTTGTTTCCTGCTATACCCATAAGACTCAAAAGGTTCCTGTCACAATATCTGTTGAATGAATGAATGAAACAACGGCTGAAATGAAGGCTGGTATCAATTACCAGTCAGTTAAACCCGGAGCAGGAGTTGAGATGTGCTCTTTAGCACTTGAGAACAGTTGTCATACCCTCCTTCTCACTGACTAGATCAAATCTAATTGGTAGCTGGCATTACATTTGCAACCATTCAGTGTAGAAGCGAACAGGTACTAGTGTTTTGACTGCCTTTTTTTTCTAATCGTGAGAAAAGTTGTAAGAATTATCTAGAATCTCCTTTGTATCTTTACCCACCTCCCCCGGCTGTTAATACTGGCTTTATCTTTTTTTCTCTATATACATTTTTTTCTTGCCTATTTGAAAGTAAATAGTGTTTTTTAAAAGCTACATTGAGTAACAGATTTACCACTGATATTATGCACATAAAAAATAATATGGCCCACAAATAAGGCTCATTTGTTGGCATGCACTGTTATCGAGTATATCATATTCCTGCACTCCGCTGTAAGGATGTAACACTTCTCACGATACTTCTACCAGGCACACTGCTTTGTTTTAGGCAAGACTGCATGCTGCTGAGATTTCTTTCCCCTCATTCATACAGGCTTCTTCGGCAGCCAGGCTTTGTTTATTGTCAGTTTTAACTATACCTTCATAGACACAGTGTTGTCATATAATAGTATTCTTTTTGCACAGGATTTTGCTAAAAAGAATGTGCATATTTTCTCAGCTGATATAATCACTGCCCCCGCACTCGGTTATGTAGCTGACCATAAAACTGTTTTGATAGTCTTAATTATTATTTTAAAGTTATGAGGGTTTTCAGGATTACCTTTAAAAGTTAAGAGTCTACGTCTACTCTTCTGCCATCATTTCTTAGTTTCTGGTCCTACTAGGTGTTAATGCTTTGTCTTCTGCAGCTGGCAGAATGATGGAAGAGTAAAATGGGAGGGAGCGGTGGTGGCACTCGGCTTGGGAAGTCGACGGCCTTTACGGTTGTCTGGATGAAATCAGGCACGCGTGAGGTGTGCGGCTGGGATGGTGCTCTGCAGTTCTTGCGGGAAACCTTCCTGAGTGTGTGCTTGCTTCTCACGGAGATGGTGCATTGAGCAGAAAAAATAAACCAGAAATCTGGAGAAGCCAGCATTTGGGCTGTATATGACAAAGATCAAATAGCCATAAAGAATTTAAAATAAAAATTCTTAAAATGAGCAAGAAGATGAACAAAAGGCACAATAGGTAACTAAATTCTTTTTAATTGTCATATGCGTTTTATATATATGTATCTTAAAATTTGCCATCTTAACCATTAAGTGTGCAGCTCAGTGGCATTAAGTACCTTCACACTGTCGTGTGATCATCACCACCCTCCATGTCCAGAACGTTCTCTTCTTCCCAAACTGAAATCTCTCCCCCTTGGACAGTAATTCCCTGTTCTTCCTCCCCCAGCCCCTGGAGCCACCACTCTGCTTTCTGTCTCAGTGAATTTACCTGTTCTAGGTACTTCGTGTAACTGGACTCAGACAGCATGTGTTCTGTGCCCAGCTTATTTCACCTAGCCTAATGTTTTTAAGGTTCATCCATGAAGAAGCATGTATCAGCATTTCCCCCCCTTTTAAGGTTGAATAACGTTCTCTCGAGTGTATACGCCACGTTTTGTGTGTTCATCTGTTGATGGACACTTGGGTTTCTACTTCTCAGTGAACATGCTACACCGAACGTAACTGTATAGGTATCTGTTTGAGTCCGTTTTCAATTCTTTTGGGGTCTCTACCTAGGAGGGGAGCTGCTGAGTCATCAGGTAATTCTGTTTAACTTTTTGAGGAATTGCCTGTTTTCCTCAGCAGTTGCACCATTTTACATTCCCAGCACCAGGTAAGGAGATTCTAACATTTCCACATCCTCACCAACACTTACTGGTTTCCACGTTGTTGTTGCTGTGTGTGTTAGTATACTCCTCTCCTAGGTGCAAAGTGGTATCTCGTGATTTTGATTTTCATTTCCCTAAGTACTGACGATGCTGAACATCTTTTCATGTGCTTCCTGGGCCATTCGTGTGTCTCCTTCGGAGAAATGTCTGTTCAAGTCCTTTACCCATTTTTAAGTGGGTTATTTGTCTCATTTGTTTGTTTATTTAAGTTGTGGGGGTCATTTTTGCATTCTGGATATTAGTCCCTTATCAGATGTGATTTGCAAATATTTTCTCCAATTCTGTGGGTTCCCTTTTCACTCTGTTGATGTCCTTTGATGCATACGTTTTTGGTCCTGTGATACTCTTTTTCTCTATTTTTAGTTTGTGTTGTTGGTGTTATATCCTAGAATCCACTGTCAAATCCCAGGTCCTGAAAATTTATCCCTATGTTTTCTAATTTTTAAGCTTTTTATTATTTATTATTTATGCCTACAGCACCTGGTTGTCCTAGGTGGTCTCCCATCCAAGTACTAACCAGGCCCGACCCTGCTTAGCTTCCGAGATCAGACATCGGGCTTGTTCAAGGTGACATGGCCGTAGACCATGAACCATGGCTCCACTGGGGCACGAACCCAGGACCTTCTGCGTGTAAAGCAGATGTGCTAACCGCTGCACTATAGAACCACGTCCTGTTTTCTAATAATTTTATCGTTTTAGTTTTTTAAATTAATTTCACTGGGGTAACATTGGTTAATAACATTATATTAAGCTTCAGGTTCATCATTTTCTACTATGTTGTCTGTATGTTGCATTGTGTGCTCACCATCTAGTCTCCTTCCGTCACCATATATTTGACCCCCTTTACCCTCATCATCCTCACTACCCCTTTCTCCTCTGGTGACCACCGTACTGTTCTTTGGGTCTTTGGGTCTGTGAGTTTGTTGTGTTTGTTCGTTTGTTGCTCTGTTTATATACCACATTTGAGTGAAGTCGTGGTTCTCATCATTTCTGTCTGACTGCTTAGCAGGATACTCTCAAGATCCATCCATGTTGTCACAAATGGCAAGATTTCATCCTTTCTGATGTCCGAGTAGTATTCCGTTGTGTATATGTACCACATGTTCTTTATCCGGTCATCCCTGGAAGGATACTTTGGTTTTTTCCATGTCTTGGCTACTGTAGATAATGCTGCAGTGAATTTAGGGGTGCAGATGTCTTTTCAAGTTAGTGAGATTGCTGGGCCATGTGGTCGTTCCAGTTTTAACTCTTTGGAGAACCGCCACACTGTCATCCGTAGTGGCCATACCAGTTTACATCTCACCAGCAGTGCACGAGAGTCTCCTTCTCTACATCCTCACCAACACTTGTCTCTTTTTGATAATGGCCATTCTGACAGGTGTGAGGAGACATCTCACTGTGGGTGTGATTTGCATCTCCCTGATGATTAGTGATGGTGAGCACCTTTCATGTACCTCTTGGTCATCTGTATGTCTTCTCTAGAAAACGGTTATTTACATCTTTGGCTCATTTTTTAATTGGATTGTTTGAAATTTTTGCTGTTGAATTCTGTGCATTCTTTATATGTTTTGAATATTAGCACCTTATCAGATTTGTGATTTGCAAATACTTTCTTGGTTCAGTAGGCTGCCTTTTCGTTTCGTTGATGGTTTCCTTTGCTGTGCAGAAGCTTTTTAGTTTGATGTGGTCGCACTTGTTTATTGTTGCTTTTGTTGCTACTGCATTTGGTGTGATCCCATTTTTTTTCTTAAGCCACTTCAGGAGATGAATGTACTTTATAATGATATTAATCATCACTTCAAGTTTGTTCTTATATTGTCAGCAATTATATGTTTTTGGAAATTTGGTCATCAGTAATGTTCTTTATTTGCCTGTTTCTTCACTTATATAACAGGGCAAAGTACTTTATAAAGTCCGCTGGAAAGGATACACGTCGGACGATGACACCTGGGAGCCGGAGGTCCACCTGGAGGACTGTAAAGAAGTGCTTCTTGAATTTAGGAAGAAAGTTGTGGATAACAAAGCTAAACCAGTCAAGAAAGACACTCAGGTATTGCATTTTATCACTTATTTTTTTCAGTACAATAAATTTATTGTAAATTTTACTGATATAAAGATTGCAATAAAGAATTCAAAACTATTAATAAAACATACAGTATTCCTGTTGCACATTCTGTACTGCCAATTAGTTCTCAGGATACTTCATTGAGTTTTGCCAAACCTTCTGTAGCCAATCTATGACTGCAGTTGACAGACAAGTATGGTTTGGATGTGTTAGTGACTATTCCCCCTTTAAGTTAAGGGTAAGACGAAAGTTGGGGAGGGGAGACATGTTGACCCCTTGTCTGTGATGTAATAAGCATCTTCGTTTTTGTATACCTGAGGAAAATTTTTTGTGCCATTCACATTATTACTACAGACATAATGCATGCTTTCACATTTAATCTACGTTGTTAACAGATTTTCATAGCATTTCGGTTATTTACAGGTCTGGTTATCCAGGGTTTTTTTTCTTCTGTACCCACCTCAGTCTTTAGCTGCTTGGTTGCAGTTGGTAGCTCTTCCTCATGTCGAAGAGGGACAGAGGGACAGAGGGACGGGACAGGACGGGACGGCAGGACTTCGGGCAGGTTAAGCGTCTGTCAGTTTGGAAGAAGGTTTGATGGGCTAGAGAGAGATGATGTTAAAAGCAACGCAGGCTTTTCTCCTATGGACTTGTCCATGTTTTATCCTTGATTCTCATGTTCCACAAATAATTGAATTGGCTTTATTTATTAATCTTGGAAGAATTTCCCATTTTACTTTACAATGTAAATTTCATTTATAACATCTATATAAATGGAACCAGCTCTTTTTTTTTTTCATTAGAAATAATTTTTAATACTGGCAGAGGTTCTTGAACTTAGAATATAGTGAAAATTTTACAAAGCGAAAATTTCTCACAAGAAACATTTTCTTATCTAAGTCTTTAAGGGCTGAATGTTGATCCTTTCTCTCTCTGCAATTTGAATTTCAGCCACACTTTTAAAAATAATATTTTTTCAAATGACCAAACCAGCGTTTCGACCCAGTTTTTGCTGTGTGTGGTGGTGGTAGCAGCAGCAGCAGCAACAGTGACAGAGACGGCTTCTGTTTCCAGAGCTCTGGTACCGTGGACGTGCCTGGCGCTGGGTCAGCGCTTTGTGTGGACAGGTGCAGCCGAGCTCCCAGCGGGCAGTAGGGGCCCAGCCAGCCGCTGTGCTGTGGAGAGTCGCCTTTTGGTTTGGGCTGTAGCTTGAATTACATTGAGAGGAGTGAATTACCATTTCCTAAAAATTATGTTACTGTGGCAGGGCCTTTAATAAATATGGTTTTTAAATTACTAAGCAAAATGCTTGGCACTTTAAAATTTTTTGCAAAAGAAGCCCTTCACAAAATGAGTTCAGGTAAAAGTAGATGTTTTTCCCCCAAAATTTTTGCTATAGTTATATTTTACTTTTCTAGAATGGATGCCTACTCCTTCCCTATTTCTTTACCTAAAAATGCTCCAACAAACACAAATGAACAAGTTTAACTCAGTGATTGGTTCATTATTCTCAAA